AACACTATTGGAAGATGACATGACCATCAAGTGTTACCTCGATAACAACAACATCTGCTACTAGGTGATGGAGATTAGATAGGCACCAGTCCGATCCGACTGGGTTTCCAAAGCATTTGGTACCCACTGCACCAATCGGAACTGAGACTGATGCATACCTAATGGAGATACATGAGTAAAACTTTGTTAGAATGTTTATCATAATTATTCTTTTTAGCACTTCAACAACATCAGCATCAACCACATCGATGTATGTGTGTTTATGTTCTTGTCATTTGAGAAAAGAATAACAGATGTTATATGTTTAGATCAACGACTAGTACTACTTCAATAACATCAGCATCAACCACATCGACGTATGTGTGTTTATGTTCTTGTCATTTGAGAAAAGATTAACAGATGTTATATGTTTAGATCAACGACTAGTACTACTTCAACAACGTGAGTTTTCCATTTACTTTTCTTATTCTAATAGACATGTGGCTATTCAGATCAACGACAACTACTACCTCGATCACTACTACGTAATGCTCTCATTGCTCATTGTTGTGTTGGTTGATTCATCTCTCTATTCTAGCTCGATAACAACCACTACAACCAGTACAGTGTGAGTTATTCAACTAAAATGACTTTTTCTTTCTTCGATCATTCTGATGTGTCTAGAACAACAACTACAACAACAAGTACTTCGTGAGTTTTCATTGATCGATTTGTTTATCGAATGTTTGATGCATGTGCTGGAATAGAACCACTTCTATATCCACAACTACTACAACCAGCTCAGTTACGACTTCTACGGCTACTTCTACAACCACAACCTCGATGGTTACAACTGGATCCAGTGATCAGTCGAGCTCCAGTCTAGAACTGACACTGGGACTGGGATTAGGTCTTGGTATTCCACTATTACTGCTTCTTGGTATCTTGGCTCTCTGTCTTTGTCTTAGATGTTGTCCAATACCTTTCTGGTATGTAAATAAATGTGTTTGCCTTGCCATTCAACACTAAAATCTTTTTATTTCATCAGTAAAACACTCCGACGAAGATTTTGGCGTCGTGAAGAAGATTTGGGTCAACAATACCGGAGTCAATATGAGCATGATTCAGCTATAAACAGCATAGAAATTGCAGATATGTCCATGAAAGATTATCGACGACAATATATCAATGAAAGTTCATGGTTACCGATGCGAAGCTTTTCTCCTGAAGAATCATTTTTTTACAGTTCACCGCCACCATCCGATTTTGGTTCATCAGCAGCGACACGGACAACATTAATGTCATCGTTATCAGACAGTATCTTGCCGAGTGTAGATATTCCTATACAAACGGCACGCCCTCTACGACTACCATATCTGACAAGTGGTGGCTCCATTCTTGTACGAGCTTACATTGATCAAGAAACAAAAGGAGATACTTTTGGTCATTAATCGAGAGTTCTGATGAGATGTTGAATTTAAACGACTAGAATACCTCTAATTCTCCGCAAAATGACTAGAAAAATACTTGTCATGAGAACTAAGAGATTTTTGTATGCTTCTTATGTTTTTTTCTTTCATTAAATATAAAGAAACTCGAGTTTTTTTTTAAATATAAATTGAAATCAAAGTATAATAAAGACAACTTAATTTCACTCAATATTATTTTCTTTTTCTGACGCACTTTTACCTAAGACTTTGGATAAAATAATTGAAGTTGCTTCGAATTCGCGTTATGTTTGATTTTCTATCTTTTT